CCCTCTCTCTCACTCTCCTCTCTCTCACTCTCTCACTCTCTCACTCTCTCTCTTTTAAAAAAAAAAAGTTATATGGCAAAAATTTTTGTGTATAGGGGCTGGGATTGTGGCTTAGCGGTAGAGCGCTCACCTAGCATGCGCAAGGCCCTGGGTTTGATCCTCAGCACCACATAAAAACAAATGAATGGAATAAATACTTTTTTTAAAATTTTAAAAAAATTTTGTGTATAATAATAGTACATATAATTAAGAATCACAGATACCGATAAAAACTAAAATTCTTTGAAAGATTTGACAGATACTTGCTAGTTAAGTGGTTTTTTAAATGTTTTGAATTTTTTGTACTATATTAAGGGTAGTTACCAATGAGACTTCATACAAAGAGAAGAAATTTACTTACTTTCTTACTGCTTCTAATATCTGCATTTTTGGCAGAAAATGATATGTTTGAAAGTATTTGGAGAACCACACTAACCTCCATCTAATTGTGACAGTTATAAAAGATAGAACTGTCTGAATATTAGCTTGAGTGTAACTACAAAAGCCATCTGAAGTAAAATCTGTCCATAAGAATTATTTTACTGATCCATAAAGATCAATTTTAAATGTATTATGTCACTTTCTACAAAGGTTAATTATATGTGAAATTTTCCCTTTTTTCTTTTTTTGGTAGTGGGGATTCTGCAGAGGCACTTTACCAAAGCTTTGCATTCCCAGTTCTTCTTACTTTTATTGTGAGACAGTCTCAACTAAGTTGCTTAGGGCTGTGCTAAGTGGCTGAGGCTGGCCTTGAACTTGGGATCATCCTGTCTAGGCCTCCCAGGTTCCTGGGGATTATAGGCATACACACCACCCAGTTTTTACCCTACTCTTTAGAGATCCTATTGTAATATAGTAGAAGAGGGAAGTATAAGTATTAAATAAGGTAGATGATTGTAATTAGTAAATAGCCAGCAAATTGGGTTAATGTATTGACTATTGGGAATAACATTTCAAATAAGGGAAAGAAATAGGAGATATAATGGAATCACTTTAACACTAGGACAGAGATAATTGGAAAGGAAAGCCAGAATAATAGCAGAAATACCAGTACTAACATCTTGAACTAAGATAGTGGCAGTGGGCATAGGCATAAAGGAGAGGCAAATTCAAGAAATTTTGAAGTTCTTTAGGACTGGGTAACCACTGTGAATGAGTCAGATGAAAGGAATAATCAACTGCGAGATCCTGGTTTATAGGTTTCTATTGTGATTTACTGTTGATAGGAAAAATAGTGTTGAAGAGATCAGGAGTTTGTGTTTTGTATATGTGATGAGATACCAAGTAGATTGAATAGACATTTGAATGAATGCCAAGGAATGAATATGACACTAAGGGAAACTTCAAGAGTGTGCAAAATATATGTGGGTGGGAGTTAGAAGCAAAAAATGATCTCTAGGAATATAAGATCATTCTTATATTCCTTACAGAAGGAATATAAGACACCAGGGGAGCAGCAACTAGAACTAACAGGATAGAAGGATTCTGCAGAAAAGATAGAAAGTATTCCTTCTTTTAGTTCCTTTGTTTTTGTTTTTTCTTTATAGTTCCTGTCTCTTCTTTGATGTGGTGGAATTTTAATGTAACATAACATGGAAATGCTAAGCTGCTTTTTTTTTCTTTTCCTTTCTTTTTTAAACAAGTAAAATGAAATTTGGCTTTGCCTAAATTGCATCATTGAGTTCTTTGTTCAGAAGCACTCAGACATAACCCTTGATTGTGAGAAACTGGAAAATGAAAGTTAAACAGAGCATCTGAAATGGGGTTTTGAGAAAACTTTAGTATGTAGGACCATCACAAAATTATTAATTATTTATATAGTAAAAACTTATTTGGGTGCCTTGCTTTGAATTTTTTCCCCTTTTTTTTTACATTTTATTTGCTATTTTTAGATATACATGACAGTAGAGTGTCATTTGACATACATACATATGGAGTATTACATTCTAACTAGGATCCCATTACATTCTAACTAGGATCCCATTCATGTGGTTGTATGTGATGTGGCATTTCACTGATGATGTCATATATGAACATAGAAAAGTTGTGTCTTGATTCATTCTGCTCTTTCCTATTTTCATCCCCCCTCCCTTCTCTTCAGTTTCCTTTGTCTAATCCAGTGAATTTCTATTCTTCTCTCCACCCTCATTTATTTTGTTTTAGTATCTGGCATATCTCAGAGTACATTTCAGCCTTTGGTTTTTTTGGGATTGATTTATTTTACTTAGCATGATAGTCTCCAGTTATATCCACTTACTGGCAAAAGTCATTTTTTATTATGGCGGAGTAATATTCCATTATGTATGTATACACATCATATTTTCTTATCCATTCAGTGTATTGAAGGGCACCTAAGTTCTTTGAGTATACATTGAATGGGATAACTGGGTCAAATAAGTGGTGGTTTTGATTTTATTTATTTCCCCTACTATTCCTGGGTGTTGCTTTGTTATTATAGGTCTTTTTAATTAAATTTTATAGGACTCAATAGTAGCTTACTCTTTTATTGCTTTCATTGGTTGTCCAATTTTCTTTTTTTTTTTTTTTTTTTTTTTTGGTGGTATTGTGTATTTAACCCAGGGGCATTCTGTCACCAAGCCATTTTTGAAACACGGTTTCACTAAGTTGCTGAGGCTGACCACAAACTTTGGATCCTTCTGACTCAGCTTGCCAAGTCACTGGAATTATAGGCATCATGCACCATTGTGCCCAGCAGGAGTTATATATTTCTTTGAACCCGATTCTTCACCAATAATTAACTTCTTTCTTTTGAACCCCCTGTGTATTTCATTCACATTTCATATCTATAACATTTTATTATGTGTACTTTATGGGTCTTGGTAACAGAATTTTAAGTCTGTCAAGATTTTAAAAAATCATTTTCTGTGATCTTTTCACATATCTAGCGTGTAGTGGGGAGTTAATAATTATTTTTCTGAGGAGTTGGAATTGATAAGCTGTATTCTAAAAGTGTCAGATCTTTGAAAGTTTTTATTTGCCTGATAAAAGTGTGTTGGTTGGTGTATGCCTATAATTCCAGGGACTCGGGAGGCTGAGGTGGGAAATTTGAGGTCAGCCTGGACAACTTGATGGGACCGTGTCTCAAATTTAAAAAAAAAAAAAAAAAATTTGTTTTTGTCTGCTTTTTTAACACACTTAACATTTTGCTTTCTAATTTCTGTAGTCTGACCAGTACATGATACTGTTTGTAAGCTTTATTATTGTTAAGTGTACTTTTTCATTTATGAGAATTTGGATCTAGAACACTAGTGTTTCTGGATACCTTTTCCCAATACTCTAGAAATTTGTAAAATGGGATTTAAATAGGATTCACTATATAGTAATTTTGATTTTATATTTTTTATTACTATGAACTGAGGTTTTTTTGGAATAATTTAGATTTCTTCATTTCTGTGTAAAGAATAGATAATATTATTTAATATTATTAATTTTTTTTTAATTTTAAGCATGTTTTTCTCTTCACAGAATGACAGCCCATATCAAGGTGGTGTATTCTTTTTGACAATTCATTTTCCTACAGACTACCCCTTCAAACCACCTAAGGCAAGTATTTTCCCTTAGTAAAGATTTATGCTTTGTTTTAGAGGAATTGAGCATTCATGGAAATAGAGTTCTGTGTGATTGAGGCTGAGCTTGAATAAGAATAATTTAAGTTGAATATAATAGATGGTGTTTAGTTTAAAAAGCTGGAGTGATTTGAACTTTATAAATGGGTATACAATTTGCTTTGTCATTAATATTGCAAGATTCAAATATACCATGTGGAAGTGTTTCCTTGATATTTGTACACTGATTTGGATTATTGATCCTATTGGCTTGTAAAAACATTCAATTTCATATATGCACATAATGCATTGCAATTTCACATTACTTTGGTTTCACTATATGACTAAGAGTTGCTTAAAGATAAACAGTGGTACAATTCTTCTGAAATATTTCTGTGATATTCAAATTTTATTATGTACAGTGAAAATGCAAAGTTTAATATGTACATGTATCACTGATTTTAAATGAGCTGTAAGTTTTGGTTATACCAAAACCTTATATTTTAATGAGTATTAAATATCTTTGTGTTCCTTTGACACTTAACATGGTAACATCAAAGTTAAACAGTAGGGCTCAGTGGTATGCACCTGTAATCTTAGGAGCTCAGGAGTCTGAGATAGTAGGATTACAAGTTCAAAGCCTGCCACAGTAACTCAGCAAGGCCCTAAGCAATTTGACCTGTCTCAAAATAAAAGGCTGGGGATATAGTTCAGTGGCAAGCTGCCCCTAGGTTAAATCTCCACTACTCAATAATAAATTAAAAACAGTTAATCTTCAGAACTTTTCAGCATATTTTAGTAATGAAATTTTTTGCCCCAAAGTTATATTTTTAATTTTAATTAAAAGAAGGAATCACTTGGGGTTCATGGTCAGAATGTAAAAGTCAGTTTTGATAATTTTTGGTAATTTTATGTACATAAATTAAGTTGTATTGATTCAGTTTGAAATATTTTAAGCCTTTTAAAGTTTTAAGTTTAAAATGCTTGTTTTTATTTGGATAAAATACTTAGGTCTTTTTTGTTTTTTTTAGGTTGCATTTACAACAAGAATTTATCATCCAAATATTAACAGTAATGGCAGCATTTGTCTTGATATTCTAAGATCACAATGGTCTCCTGCTTTAACTATTTCTAAAGGTAAAATACTTGTAGAATAAACTTGAGCTACTCTGATGTTCTAATAATTACCAGGAGTTGAATCCTTAAATCTACTTACCTGAGTATTTTTATTTCAACATTGTGGTTAGAAGGGATTAGACTTACATTATTTTTTACTCTTTTATCAGTGTTGGTTAAAGAGATTATGTTTGAAAAGTTGCCTAATAAGTTCCCTTTAAATAAATTTCTAGTCACATGTTATGGAACCTTGATTTAGGTGTTTCTTACCTAGGATTGTTAGTCTAAAACCGTGGAATCTTGGGAAAGTCTCTGGATCAGTTTGGATCTACTTTGAGTAGGTAGTTTATTATGTGACATATCTTTAACAGGTTGTCCATGCTGCAGGAATGTCACAATAGAGTGGTTTGGGTTTTAAGTTGTTTCTTTTTTGAGTGACTCTGGAAGCATTTTATATCTTTTTCACCCCACAAAAATCACCTATGCACAAAACTTCTTAAGAGAGGGAAGAAAGTATGTCTTTTTAGTTTAGTTTCAGTTTTGGGTGTTAACTTGCCATTCCTTAGGTACATAGAATTAGGTTTTTAATGATACTAATTATGACTTAAGCATATTTTAAGATAGTCGTACACCATAACTTTTTATGAATAAACTATAAGTTTGGTAAGTGCAAAGTGAAAGTTTTTAGTTATAATTGGACTTAATAACTTTATTTTATTTTTTTTACGTGGTGCTGAGGATCAACCCAGTGCCTTTGAACATTCGAGCCAAGCGCTCTACAACTGAGCCACAACCCTAGCCCCATCTGAGATGTATTCTGATGCTGAAAACTTTTTTTATAAATGCAATTTGAATTGGTGGTTTGTCTTTTAGTGACTTGCTTTTTTGGCAGTCTTATTTGCTAAATTATTATTTTATCACATCAGTCGTAATTTAATATTGTAAGTTACTATGTAGCTGGGTACTCTCTGTTGTGTAATTTTATATGCTCCCCCATGCATTTGGATTTGAAATAAATTGTATTTCCTTCTGTCAACAAAAATTTTTCATTTACATGATGGTTAATTTTTTCTCATGCTGCTGCTTTAAGCATTTTGATCTTATAGTCTCATAACAATACCTGTCTACTGACTGGCACATAACAGGTACTCAAAATGAATGACGTCTATGGTCCATAGTGCTATCATCTACTGTTGGTATGTTAAAAGGTCAAGTAATAACTAGAACTGTGAAGACTCACTTTGTCCATGAGAGCTTGGCATTATTTTACCAATACTCTTGGGAATGTGGTCTCTACCTTATAGAGACAAGGAGACAAAAACCTTTGAGGAAATAAAGTTTGTAGTGCAGATTCTAAAGTTCTGTTGACAATTATTCAAACTCCTGATGCTATCATGTAACATGCATTTATTTTCTTTACAGTTCTTTTATCCATTTGTTCACTGCTATGTGATCCAAACCCAGATGACCCTTTAGTGCCAGAGATTGCACGGATCTATAAAACAGACAGAGATAAGTAAGTATGCAATAGTATTAGGAAAGCTATTAAAAGGTTCTTAATGAGACAGGCTTATATTCTGTTGTAAGTTGTGGCGCTTGCAGGAAGACTAGATGCTTGTTTTCTGGTAAGATAATAGTTAAAATGTGCCCCAATCTAGTTATTAAAAATGCGTTATTTTTTTTTTTAAACCCAGATTTCAGTATATGTGACAATGAATAACCCCTTCAGGTTTTCTTTTTCTAATACATTAAGCACTTTTGTCATTTTACTCTCAAGTTTGAGGGAAGAAATCACATTTTCTTCACCCAGGTGTAGTTTTTTTGTTTTGTTTTGTTTTGTTTTAATAAAATTATATTAGTACTGTTGTAAAAATTGATTCTAAATTTCTCAGATATTTGAATTATGTTTGTGTTCAACTTAACCATTGTAACTGTTGTATGTTATAATTAATGCTAAGTGTACTTGTTCAATTAGGTACAATAGGTTAGCAAGAGAGTGGACAGAGAAATACGCTATGTTGTAGGGTAAGAGGATCTGCACTCTATGGTGCGCTTATTCATGGAACTGCCAGCACTTGAGTGCTGCATGCTTTAAGGCACTGTATTAACTAACAAAAGGTAACAGATGTGGCAGTTTTCTGAAAACTGTACATTTAACTGCTTGAGCTCTCTTTAGCGTGAAAGTATACCTCATAGTCAGTACTGTTTGAAAATATTCTTGCATGGCAAAGCAGTTACATAGCATTAGTTAAGAAGTAGAAGTTTAAGAGTATCAAACTACCATGGTGTTAAATTTTTAGCTTGAAAATGTACCAGTAGTATATGGAATGTGGTGATTTTATTCAAATTTTGCCAGGAGGTAGGATTATAAGGGAAAAACACTTGAAAGCCTAAGCATCTAATCTAAATGTTCATTACTGACAAGCATGCATTAATGTCAGCTGTATTTTGTGGCTCCCTGTATGCTAAACTAAAGCCTTTGATTTAAAGTGCTAGCTTTTGAAGAGAATATCTCTTTAGTAGCATAATGGAATTGGGTAGAAAAAACTTTTATCTGTTTAAGTATAGAAAAATAGTTGAATTTAGTTCTTAGTTTAAATGAAGCTAGTAATCTTTTAAAAATTAAATATATAAGTCTAAAAGTTCTGTGCCTTTTGATGTATATTTTTTAAGGTTATCACTATATTTTGTTGGTAAGTAGCCTCTGGCATGATTGTTATCTGTGGAGAGATTAATAGTGTGTGTTAATATTAACAGTCTTCCTCAGCAGTAGCCCTAGTTCACAGGTGAATTATCTGTGGAACTTTTTTTTTAAACAAAGATGTCCAGTTTGGCAGGTCTCACTTGGGCTTAGTAGCACCAATCGCCAGAATTTTTAAAAGTAACACATGTGGGTTCTGATTAGCACGACCACTTATACCCATCCACTCTTAAATTTCTTTATCAGCCTGCCCACTATCTGTCTGTTCTGCCTATGTTTCAAAGATTTCTCTTGTGGTTATACCCATGCCCAAGTAACTTCTCAGGTCTAGGTTTCAGATAACAATTTTTTAGTGATAGTACATGTTTGGTTCTAGCTTTGGAAATTTTTGTTGATGTACAGAATATGTATTCTATGTGACAAACATCTGTGAACTAAAACAATTTCTCTGTTAAAATTTGTTGTAATGGGCTGGAGTTTCGACTCAGAGGTAGAGTGCTAGCCTAGCGTGCGTGAAGCACTGGGTTTGATCCTCAGCACCACATAAGTAAAACAAAGATATTGTGTCCACCTATAACTAAAAAATAAATATTTTTTTTAAAAAATTGTTGTAATGATAACCAATTTTTAGAATTTCTGATAGACCATTAGCTCAGTGATGGAGAAAAAGTCTTTGGTTTTTGTTAGCCCTCCTACATTTATTAAAACAATACTGCTTTGAAAGCATTCAGTTCTCATTTCCCATATTGTTTTGGGTGCCAGTGCTATTTTTCCCTTGTTGGTTTTATTCTAATCATAGCCATTACAGATGGCTTTATAATGAGTCTGTAGGTAAAATAGAAATCTTTTCCTTTTAAAAACAGTAATCTTTTCCTTTAACTTATTAAAGTAACTTTTTCTTTATTTATAGGTACAACAGAATATCTCGGGAATGGACTCAGAAGTATGCCATGTGATGCTACCTTAAAGTCAGAATAACCTGCATTATAGCTGGAATAAACTTTA